CGCATCGAATAGCCGGAGCATGTGGGTACCGAGCACTTGGTCGGATGATTTATTAAAATGATGTAAACATTTATTCAATTACGACACACGTCCACGGTTTGATTATTTATTGCTCACATTTTCTTCGAAGACATGATCAGAAATTTCAATATATTTTTTGATTGTTTTTTTGATGAAAATAAATGTCAATCTTACATTATAATTATTGTGCGTACACATTAGCACTCGATGTTGATGGAAAAGCGTATCATCATGCCCGTCAAGTGCTCGCAGTGTGTTTACTCTACCGCCCTGTTTGCACAACAATACGAGTACGCCAACGCCCTTAATGCTCGCCACCTTACCACCTTTCGTTTCAAGCGCGTACACCGCGAGCGAATAAATGTCTACGTAAATATTGAAATTACCACAACCGCGCCTCACGTTTTTTTCGAGGCTTGCTGCCCCGCTGTGCGGTGTTTGTATTATTCGGCTTGTCATATTTTTTCATTGCGGCGCGTTGCCCGTAAATCAGTTCACCTGTCACTGCGATATTTTATTCGCCGTGTCGGAGGCGCGCGCTGTTTTTATTCGCCATTATATTTATCGCTCGGCACACGGATTTTTTTTTCTCCCTTGGTGTTTTGATGTTGTTGTGAGGCAAATTACAACGCTTTTCCGCGTGCTTCGAGAGCACATCATGAATACGAGAATATGGGTGGAATAAGCATTATACGAATTTCGTGGTGTAACCTCATGAGAGATGGAGAAAAAAACTGCCGAGGGAGAGCTGCAGCCGGGTATAAATCTTGTCGCACGCTCAATTAAACATAATATATCGGCTAAATTGAGCATAAGCTATCGATGATGTTCGAATAGACGATGCTCAACTTGTGTAGATCTATAAAAAATACGAACCTGATGTAGATGATTTCAGAATAGTGAATAAATCTTGTTACGCAAGCTAAGAAGGAAGCTGTCGAACGAAGGAAGTTATAAAAACGACTAATACTTATAAATTCGATAATGAATATTGTTAAAAGCCGATCGCACGCCCAGCTTTTAAAGCTTTCGCACCACCCAACTGATGAATTACGCGCAGTCACCTCTTTCGATACCTAACATTTTTCTACTCGTCAAATGCGCATGCGCGACATGGCTGCCGTCTGACGCTAGGCCAAGGAACGCGTCTAATTGTTATAATTACAGCCTTGTCTCGTTCTTATCGGACTCAAGCTTTTTGCAACTGTTTGATGCTCGTGTAGCACATCTTACCTTCATTATTTCTCTCGTTATGTTATCAAAGGATCTCAGTGAAAAGCGCAGGAGCAAATGGGATGCAGACGTTTATTCCGAATATGGTTTGACATATGACTGGTGGTATTACTGGTTCTGATATTTTCAATATGGCAACACTGCTTTTGAGTAAATAGAATATATTGAGAGGGTTGAAAGTTATCTATCCTTTTAGGGTGGCGTTTTGCAAGGGTATCAGACACTTGCTGTTGTCACCACATTGTTAAAGATGATTGATTCTGCATAACGCGCGTACCAGGCCCGAACACTTTTCAATCCTTTTCACAACCGTAAAATCTTTTAACGTTTTCACATTATACAAACATGTTATGCTTTTGATCGATTATGATTGATACTATTACTATACTTACAAATTTTTGTTATAATCGCTTGCAATTTCCGTTTGGATTAAAGAATGAAACATGAAACATCAAAATAACAAAATGTCGATGAGTAATCTTTGCAGTTTAATCAATTACGAATGGAATAAAAAGTCCAGTCAATGCAGCCAAGTTGATTAAAGCTTGCTTAATTAACTTAATATCTATCTAGTATGTATGTAACTGCGACTTGCCTATAAAGCAGATATTTGCATATTTCAACCATAAAAACACTCATTTAATGCGCGCATCCCATTCGCCCAAGCTTAATTTAATTAAAAAATTATTACCAGCAACGCCCATTATTAAGGTAATTCCAATTTGAAATAAAAACGCGCACGACTCGGATATTAAATTCCATTTCGAATGCGTTATATGCCTACATTCAGATACATTCGTATTGTTAACGGCGGCACACCTCGCCTCGTCTTATTAAAACAAAACTAAATAAATGCTAATTCGCGTTTTTAACAAGCAAAACAACAAAATGAAAAAAACGCGCAACAATTAAAATTAAAACTTGCGCCGGTACCGCTTATTTTTAATTTAAACGCGTTATTTCTGTAATTGAACCACGGAATATGATTAAAATAAAATTGAAGACTTTTAAGGTTTTAAACTGTTTTCGAATGAGTAAAGTCGAGACGAGTACAGGACGTGACGACGGTGTTTTAATATCCAAGAAAGGTGTTGGATGAAAAAAAGTTTAAATTTAAATTCTGGCGCTTCATATTGAGATAAACGTCGAATGTTGAATGTTAAATGTCGAATGCAAAATGCAAAACCTTATGAACTATAAGCGAGAACAATAAAATTATTCGAAGCAGCGACCAGCGAAGGTTTGCAAGACGTTTTCGAGCGCCACGAATTATGCCTCGGTGAATTTGACTTCCCGTTGATGTTTGTGTTGAATTTATTTAATTGTCGACTTCCTACTTTTGGAATGCTATTTAAATAATTACCAAACAGTAATGTGCATAAAATAATGGATACATATTAAGCTTTAATAGAATTTTGAGGATGTACTGTTAAATTTTCTCAATTTCTTTATTTTACAGGAAAATGCGTTTTGATGCGTTTTTCTCATATTCATGATTTTAAAAATTTAAATAAACTTTTTTTGATTAATAAGAAAATGATTGTGTCAATTAAAATCCAAAAATTGCAAGATACAAGGTGTTTTTCATCATTTGTTAACAAAAAATATAAAAAAATGTTTGTTTCTGCAATTTTTTAGTCCAATTCTATTGGTAGTTAAGATTTTCAATGATAATAATAAGATACTTATATGCGTATTTATTGTGCGTAGTTAATGCGCTTGTGTAGTGATAATAATTGCCATCCAAGCAGCCATTATGCAAACCAAGGAATTCGCAAAACGCACATTAACATGCACATGCGTATTCTTCGCTCCTCATTATCGTAAACAATGCAAGCGTGCAACAGGAATTCATAGCAACAATAGAAATGCATTTCAATAAATAAATATTTATAAAACACACAGAAAATGCACGCGTTGTATCAGAAAATCTATACTCACCTACAAGCAGGATATGTCTGTGCCCACAGGTAACATTTGTACACAAGTTAACAATTTATAAGCAATAACCGTACGAATGTGAGAGGTTATCGTTTATCTGCTCTTGACAATAGACTTGAAATGAATGAGAAATGCATTTTTGCAATGCTTAAAACAAACAGACAGCAAATGGGATAAGAATCAAGTAATTTCGCAAAGGAATTGAATGTAAAAATTTCTCACACGACGTTAAGGTGCCGGAAAATTTTAATTTGAACGCAAGCGCACCCTTAAATTATCTAATTAATTTATTTTTTTTAACTTTTAAGTAGTTATATTTTTGCTACTTGCGTGAAAATGACTCATAAAGTGTTTTATGCAGATTTTAATCACTTTTTCAAAAAAAGAATTGAATTGGTGTTGTGCTATAAACGATAAAAATATTTAAAAAATAAATAACTACCTGGGTAGTACCTATATGCCTACATAAGTTTGCTGTTAAAATAAAGAAAATAACGAAAATTACCATTACCATCGCTCGGTTGCACATTATGAAGTTGTTAGTTAGGCATAATAAAATTTTGTTTTGAGGCGTGTGGTGCACGCATCTTATCGCACAATGTGTTACGTCGGTACTCAAACGAGTAAATTCGTGAAAATGTTGGAAGGAAACTAAAAAAAGAGTGGGTAATGTAGGTAATGCTCCTTTTTTGCCCGCGGTGCGGCGTACAAATTGATACAGTATGCTCGTGTTGTTAGTGTGGGAGGTAGACGATAAGGCTAGAAAAATAAGCGAAGTCGTGATAATAATCTCCGACGAGCGCATGGCAAATTGCCCGATAAGTGCGTTATAAATGATCTCCTCACATGACAAAACAAATACCCGAGTAATGTACACCTCGTTATTCCAACACGGAAAGTGAACTAACGTCTCTTCAAAGTAGATTTATTCATCATTAACACATATTTATTTAATTTTCAATAGAATAAAAATCAAGAAGAAAATTTCGACAAAATGAGCAAACAAAAGATCAAAAAGCGTGTCCGATGAAAAGATTCAGTCATAACAGTGGATTAAACTCGACATGCGATAGCCCAAAGGCAAACTGAACCCTTATTAGGGTAGTAATAGAGGATTCATCCAAACAATATGCTCTAATCATGGCAAATAGCTTTTTAGTCAATTGAAAATGAAAATTCTTAATGTTTGCTTCCCAAAAGAACACCCTGTAGATTTTAGTGTTCATACCACTGGAATGAAATCCTCGGGGAACGAAACGATGATGAAGAGAACCCGATGATTCTGTTATTACACCAAATCTGTTACATTTGATTAAATCCGCACGCCGCGCGACGCTGGGGTGCATTTTAAAGCAAAGTCAAGCTGAGTGGAAAATCGAGGGGTGAACTATCTTCACGGTGGGATCACGGCTCACAAACTCCCACGAATTACGCTTTTATTTGATTTCAACTTGCATCCGCCGATAATCACAACACACAGAAAAAAATTGAATTTGAATCGATGATTAATTTTGTTTTAATTTTTTGTTACAGGTAAGCATCCTTCTTGGTTTCTCAGAACTGCAGTGTGTAAGTGTGTGTGTGAGACTGTGAAAGACACATTGAATGTTTTGATAGTTTTCGTTTTGTTTCGATCGAGACGTGGTCGTACGTGCGCGTTTTTATCGCGTCATTTCGGACGTGGAAAGATGAGCCTCGTGTAAAAAGCACGGCGCGCAGCGCAGCGCTAGACGTTATCAAGCTGAGGCCCCCGCATACAGAAATTTACTGTCCATAATTACAGGGTTGGCGATATTTAATTACAGATGGCCGGGGCACAGGCGCTGGCTGCCAACTCGGGCACCGGCCGCCGCGTCGACTACGCTGCACTGCGCTGTGTATCTTGTAAGTTATGAGAATATAACCTAACCTAACGAATGAGAAATGCACACTGTATCGCACGGGTTGCACTTCCACACATATATTGTGTTATCTCTTGACAAATCAACCAAAGAAACCAAATAAAAAACATTTCGAACCATTCTACGAAGAAATATTGATGATTATATTTACTCGTAATGCGGAGTGGAATAATATCAATTGAAATTATTTTCAAATTATTAACACAAAACCCGCATATTTTTAATACATAAGTATGAATAATATGCGTGTATAATTGAAATCGTAATTATTGGCACATAAATGAACTCAATAATTCTCTATACGCAGCTGTTGATAAATAATTTTAAAATAAATATTTTGAAACATATTTTAGTCATTATACAAGGGTATTTTTTGGGTTTGGGAAACCTTCAACTCGCGAAGACATTGATCATCTTAAGATTTTTAAGTTTCTCAAGTCTGTAATTAGCCGATGAGGCCGTTGGCGATTTTAGCTCCTTCGAATTTTCACATCACTGAGTGCACACTCTAAATTTATTAGGACTGCAACATTTGCAAAGACAAACGAGTGAGCATCAGTGACGGGCGCGCGAGGGCACGAGTTAAAATATGATTTATTGAAATTCAAAATTACACGTTGGTTAACACACACACACACCATGTAATAAAATATTTCTATATAGTAATTAATAAGGTGTAAAGGGTCTGAGTATATAAACCTCAATAGACAACACGAATCAAAGGTGTGATTGAGAACAAAGTCACATTTTTGAATTGGTGTGAACTGCAGAAAGAATGATGGATCATAATTTTCATGTCAGTGCACGCGCATAAGATATATGTAAGATCTGTCAAAGTCAATGTGGAAAATTACATACCTTATGCAACACACAACATCCCTGCGGGTAATCGTCCTACCGTTTTCTCTGCTTCGAATTTTATGATGCTGGATGTGTACAATTCTCGTGGCACGGTTGCATTGTTTTGATAACGATTATAATTTCCCTGTCGGAATGCGCAGTTGGCCCTAATTGCGGTTGGGTTTTGAGTGTGTGTCTAAATAACAGAAACTACTTTTTCTGAATTCCGTGCGCCATGAGCGGATAAACGCGAGATAAAGCGCTGTCTCTCCAGCGAGAGATGCGTTTACATCATTAATTTCGATGATTAATATCTGGCATCGGCGCGCGTCGAACGGAACGATTTCCAGCCCGTAAATGGATCATTTTTCATAACGCATCCACTTCATCATTATTATAACTTACTCGCTCGAATTGTCGGCGGCGTGTCGTGATGCGCTACATGCGTTTTTGGTGTTTTTCCTCCGATTCTCTCTTCGGAGTCATATTTTATCGCGTCGTTTCGAAAATAGACGCGCGCTATGAGCACGTTTATTATAGGAAAAACGTTTCGACAATTGAACTTGAGTGGTTTATTTTAAGACAATTCCTTGAAAACTAAGTTTACTAAGAAATGAACATAAAAATTTATGCAAACGTTGATTTATTGACGTTGTTAATCGTCAAATAAACACTTAAAAAACACATGTTGTTTATGCGCGTGTATAATAAATAATGAATAATTATCTATGAATCGATGCAATGTATTAACCTTTCCGTTTATACCAACTTTTTTTAAGTGAATGCCAATCTTATACCTATCGATACACGTCGATAAATGAATAAACAAATTAACATTGGCTGCATTAAGTGGCTGTAATTATATTTTTTGTCGGTGAAATATTTCACAACATCGTCACATGAAACACCTTGTAGAATATCCTGAGTAGATGTTATCTCATCTCACAGCTATATCGATATAATGTTCGTAAACTATTCGAGTTGAACGTTTTTTTCACGTCTTTTTTCATTTCAGTGACATACTTTCGGGCCAATTTTTACGTTATTTATTATATCGAAACGTATAATCACGGTTTAATTTTTAATGTTAATCAGTTGGTTGGCTCGCTGGCGGAGTGAAAAACAGGAAATATAAACACATTACGCATTCGGTCAAATGACTGAATTAATTTTCAGAATTAAATTATCATTATTTATACATTCACGAACTCGCCGATCATAAGATATGTAAAAAACAACATACAAATGTTTTGATATTTGTATGACGCCATTTTGAATCAAATAAAACTATCAAATTTTTGAATTTTTCACCGGAAAACCGATCTCGGTTTCTTCTTGAAAGGTTTCTATTTTTGTGTAACCCTTATAAAAGTATCCCATGGTTCCCAACAGGTCCGTTTGGGTTTGGGATGCTTTTGATACACTCTCGTAGGGTTACTTTACCTAGCACACGCATGCAACACGCTTCAATTCGGCAATAGCCGCGATGAATGAAACCGAAAATCGTCGAATAATGGCACGCAATATAATAATAAGTAACGTGCAACACAACACAACACGAATAAAAAAAACCTGCCGCTATTTGTTATGAATGGAAAATGCCCCTTTAGGGTGCTCTGTGTCTGAAGAATAGAAGAACGCAGAGATGCTTGATGAAATGCGTCGCCACGGAATGGGAAGGAAGGAGGTGTCGTCCTTCGGAAATATGATCCTGGAGCGGAACTGGGAGGTTCCGCTCCTAGCACGTGTGAGAACGAAACACCTGGCATCATCCAGATGCAGATTACGCGTTCTGGTAGTCGGCGATGACGACGGGCAAATACTATAGTATTTAGTTTAGAGGTTTGAAAAGCGTGCTGGAGCAAAAAGCGTTGTACGATGTACCTACGTTGCAGTTGCAACAAACGAGGAGAGTGAAACAACACGGCTGCACTAGATAGGTACATACGAACAACTCCGACGGCGGAGGCGTTCTAACTTCCACGACAAACACTGTAATTTGCCGATATCTCAAGATAAGTCGCTCGAATATTTGACCGGTTGTAAGGTGGTCGACCACTGGCTCGTGCTGTGCAAATAACCAAGATCTATCAGATCTACGAGTACAATATCAACTACTTTACAAAAACTATAGTAATATAGATACTTGAGTATGGCACAAGATGAATTATTGAAAGCACATGAAGAAAGATGGAAGGAACAAGTTGTGATGCGTTTGGTGCGTTGGTGGCATGTGGTTTGTAGCAGCGGCGCGGCAGTGTAGTTTTAGGGCGTGAGCAGGTGCCCGTCCAATAAAAAGGATCTCTCCTGCTCATGGTTTGCGCGGGCGGCTCGCGGCGCACGGCCAGGATCCCACGCCGGCCGCCACGCAGTCAAACGCCGCGTGTGTCCCGATCGTTTCGACGCGTCGCTGCTCTCTCGGATCGAAAATTCCACATCACATCAACACCCATCTAATACATGTGCTTTTAAATAATAAATGTGAATTATTAATTATCTGTGCTAACTGGAAGTTAGTTACATTAGTGTGCTGGTAGATTTAGAAGATGCACTGCACATACTCCTACCAAGTGCAAGCGACGTCGCCGCAGGCGGCAACAGGAGCCGAATATTTAGAGGTAAATATTATGACTTATGACGAAACCAACTAGAGTTTTGATTATGATGTCAAGTTTATTGCGTGTTGTATAACCACATCGTTATAAAAATTGCGACATATGTGCGAATTGCTCCCTAAAAATATTTAGGGTGGAATAATGTGCTAATATAAACATCTGTGTTGATGATAAAAGAGTAAATATTGCTTTTTGCACGCTGTTTGTGCGGTAAAAATGTAAATAACTTTCTAATTCTAAACCAATGTACCTAGGGAAATAAATCTCGTATTCACACACATCTACATACACCCCCAACCCTCAAACGACCAAAATCAAGCCAGTAACGAGCGGCGTCTGTGAGGGGATCGAAAATAATTGGCTCGGCTATTATTTAGTGCGACTAATTATTGCTTCTGTCGCACATCTCGCTCGTAAATTACCCTTCAATGAGGTTAATTAATAAAACGACAATTACCAATTGACTTATAGCTTTCGGGTAGTGTGCACATATAAATAATCTCGTCTTCTCACCCTTAATTAATTCCTAACGCAGTATAAAAAATAAATTTAAATTTCAATTCAATTTGGTTCTTAATTAAAAATCTGTTTGTATAAAATGTTTTATATGCCCACCTCGAGCAAGGTGGTCTTCTTGAGTTTCATCATTACGGGCGTATTAACGTGCGCATGATATATTTATATTTATATGCATAATGGCGTCCAAGTGAAGCGCCTAACGTCCGTGCAGGAAAAAATGTCGTTTATGCGTGTTGCTCGAATGATTAATTATAATGTCGGGCGAAGAGATCTTTCAACGTGAAGGCAACCACACATACAACGCTCGGGAACACTCAAGACGTCTCTATATACAACCAGCAACGCTGGGCGAGATACATTTTAATAAATTAATAAATTTCTACCGACCGGCTACTTACAATTAGCTTGTAGAAGGTTGAACCTTATAGAGACGTAATAGTAATAGATTTTCCGTTTTGTGCTTTCTAAATCATTATAGTTGACAGTTTAGTGGCGCCATCTGTGGAAGTTTTTAAGTATTTAAATTTGAATTTTTGTAAACATGTAGCCACTCTTGCATACACCATGGTGAATTGCAAAGTGTATTTATTAGGAACGAATGAAACATAATGAAAACAGAAACGCGAATGAACGAACGAACGCTTTATCTGCGTTTGATCTCGCCGGCCGGCCGGCACCGACAACCATTGTTGTAAGTACGCGCAGGAATCGCGTTCTTCGCGTTTGTTTCTTTCTCGCAGCGCCCGACAAACACAACTACCCGAAGCGTAGGTACATTACACGTCGGCTCATTGCGCCAACAGTAAAATGAATTGTATGTGGAAGACACCACATCCGAAGGCAATAATAGCGCATAACTTACGCACGAATACGATGCGCGTTTTCATGTTGTGTTTGTTACATTAGTTACATTAATGTTATGCACAGGTACGCACAGAAGAGAGTACTTTTGAAACGTAATAAGTATGATTCAAGTCTGCGTGCAATGCGATGAGAATGAGAATAGCATACGGCTGGAGCGTTGAGGTTAATTAGGCAAAATATGTTTGAATAAAAGATTAACTCGCAATCGCAACGCGCTAATCGTTGAACCCGAACTGGCACCGGCAATCCATCACACTCGATGCCAGTGGATCTTGCAAGTCTGATGGATCGATGGATGGGTAGCAGCCAATGTGTGAGGTCTGAAACACACGCAAGAAATTATTTATTATTCTTTTTTCTATAATTTAATTTAATTAGTTTGATTTTATTCACAAACAAAATAAAAATATATTTTTTGTGTTTCTGCTCAGTATATTGAACAATTTATTGAAATAAACATTTTATGTGAGTCCAATTATTAACAATTTCTAATTAAAATATTGTAATGAATGAAATTAAAGTTTGCTCTAATTGGAAAAAATTAACAGGAATTCGTACCCGTAATAAAGTCAATCAGCAAAGCGTAAATTTAATTTAGTGGTTTTTGGCAATTAGCCGCATCATAATTGTTAAAACCAACTAGTTATTAACCACAATCAAGAAACCAGACTGTAGGTACTTTAACAAAAGATAAATAATAATTAATCAACAAACGAATCGAAAGTCTTTTCATCAACTATATTCAAATATTTAAACATAAAATATTAAATGTGAAGGCGATTTTCGGTTCAGTTGTTGCTGAAAGTGTGCCAATTGCTAATTGAAAAATGAATGCTGCTACAGTGCGGTAGATATCTGTAACAAACACCAAGCATGTTCAAAATGTGCAACAAAACGAAAACAAATTATGAAAATGGAATGGTCATTACATATTATAGTTATTATTATGTAGTAGGTATATAGTATGATTATCGAAGCAGTGCTACTTGTTATTTCACTGGCGTGTGCACATTTAAAATCTGAGCAAAGTTGCAAAATCGCGGCACGTTTACCGGATCAGTTGGTCACTCTGGTCATTCACTCCAGGGGATATTTCCTATTATTTCTTGCCGTTCTAGCGCCTAGTTGGATTTATGATAGCTTACACATACGATCGAATTACTTAAATGTACTGTGTGTTGCCTATGCGCTTAACGCTTATTCCTCCATGTTCGCGGTGGACGAGTTATTGGCGTGTCGGTGAAATGCACCCAGCGGGCATAAATCAAACGGTTTTTAATGTCACATGCTCAATTTAATCACGTCGAATACACACACTCACTAAGTCACCACACATTTTATTCTACACTTACGCATAGTTACGAGGTAATCAACTCCAAAAAGTTGCGTAGTTAGCTAATAAATAATAAATTAATAAATTCTTGGTAGGTGAACATTTGCATAAATCATTATAGATCGTGAAGCAAATGTTGAACAATGTGTTTGCGTGCCGATTAACTAATTTTGACATTTTAATATAATTTGATTTCCAAATGTAGTTTTTAAGTATTCAATACATTCAATGTCAATTTATGACTTATTTAAATTTGAAATGGCAAATAATTGGCCAATAAATTTATATGTAAGTCAAAAATTACCGAAAGTTTATTGCTGAATCAGTTAATAAATTGCGTAGATGATTGTTACTCAATAGACACAATTTTAATGGCTGTCTTGGCATAAAAACTAATTTTGAATAATTCATTACTATTCGTGCATGAATTTTTTTTCTTAAATATCACTTTGCAAAGTGTATTTAATTATTAAAGTAGTATACTGAATAAAATACCATTTTTGAGTATCGTAAATATCAAAACTGTGTTTTGGGAATCAAAAGGCTCTCATATCATACACTTTGTTCAACCAACTAACCTCAAATTATACCTACTTCACACTATAAGTAATTTTTCTTCAAAAAAACTGCAATTTTGCATTTTGCACACTCAATATACAAACTATAATTTTTAATATGGTTTAAGTTACTTTGTAAGTAATATTGACGCATCATGAGTGATCCTTTTATACTGATCGATCCTGAATGTGTTTTATTTTAGAACGGTGAGTTGCGGTTCTTGCTCAGTAGCTTCAAGTCGAGTCAAACGATGAATAAATTACATATTGCGCATGCCGGGCAGATATCGTGCAATAATAACAAATAGACACGTATTTAATGCAAAAGTGTTTCAATTATACATCGCATCGACGTTTATAAATACACACTACTTGTGCCAACTATCTACGATGCGCACAGAGTTGCTTTGCGTTTCTGGTGAAGAAGTAAAGTGTAACTACGAAAGTACGACTTGCGTCGCCGTAATTACAGCTCTTCATTATTGATAGATGTACTGTTACACACACGAAATAGTAATTACGAATTACGACGAATTACTAGCGCAGAAGAGCAGACGGACTTACAACGTTGATTGATTTTGTTACAGAGCAAATAAAATACTCGCTTGGCAGAGTATTTAAAGTATAAAATTTATTAATTTGATGAATAATAAATAATAAATTTTATAAAATAACATACTAGCCCATCTGTTGTGTATATAAAATATATCCTGATAATAGTGTTTATAGTTAACCGATTCGCGAAATATTAAAATTTACATTAACGCGCAGAAGTTTAAAAAGTAATTAAAGCAATTTAATGAGCAACGCGTTTATTTATCAAAGCCGGATGTGTATTACTGTGGTTCGTGTGAGACGGATGGGTTTTGACTGAATTACTTATGCACACGTAAAAGATTAGCGTGAACCAATTACCATCGCTTAATGTTTATGCAGCAAGGAAATTATAATAATCCGACGTCGCAATTTGCATCGAATTTCGAACCCGCACAGTTTGCGTATTTATACTCTGCGTACGCGTCAAATATGTTTACTTAAATGGCGATTATCATTTTTTGTAAATATAATTTATATTTTATACAGTGCCTTAGGCGCTAGGCACTAATTTTACGTAGAAAGGACATCGAATCAAAGAAAGTTGTTGATATTTTTTAATTAGTCGCATGCTTTTATCCTATATGCTGAGGCGTGGTAGGTGTACCTACGTGTTGATGTGCGGCTACTAAAAACAGGAGGCGACCAATTTGCCGATTCGATTGAGTCGCTAAGTAGTCCTTGGTAAATTGAAATATATTTTAAACAAGCCGCCGAATGCCGATCCCGAGGCGGCGTCGACGGTTGAAGAGCGCGCGAAACCTGCCGCGTCACCCCAACTTGCCGAAAATTAACACTCACGCAGCGAATTGAATTCGGGATGTGTCTATGAGGGAAGCGCCAAGTGCTTTCGGATATTGGGCTTGTAAAACAGTTCGGAAGCTGAATTTCGGTCCCCCTTTGCATGGCAGGCAAATTTGCTTCCCTGAAACATGGAAAGCATTTACGTTTTCGGTTAGGTTTGGAAAAGAGGTGAATCATCTGGCGTGCTTTTTTGTTACCGTCTGGCGCTTTTATCACCAACAGATCAGACAAACCACGCGATGTGCTGCAGTGGATGCTGACGCGAGAAGGTAACCAACACACACATACCGTAATTACCCCTTGGTCTTGGGTGCAACGCAGCGCGGCGCCTGCTTTACAAAACCGACATTATCATCATTATAAAAGTCATCATCATTATCTATACCGATCGTCTTTTCTAACTACCCTATCTGTCGCCTAATTTTTTTATATTGTAAAATTTAATTCAAGGTCATTTGGGGTTTGCTCGAATTCACCTTAAAATTGGAACAAAAAATCTTAAATTCAACAACTTGAATCGTCTAATTCTCTAATTTTATCAATTAGATACGTCAGGTGTAAGGTATTTAACTTAATTTAGATTTTTTGTTGGTTTTCAGGTTATGTAAGCAACATAACCTATTTTAAGCTAAAAACAGTGCACTGCACTCAATCATCTGATGTGTTACAACGATTTGGTGTGTTTTTATGCATTTAATGTTTAAATACTGTACGCAGGCATCAGCGACGTAAAAGTTAATAAATGACCGCAGGTGATGGTAACCACTTAACTCAAAGTAAACTTACATTGAAAAGTAGATGCATGATGCACGAAACAAAAGCAAGCAGCAGCGGTAATGACGACGTTAAAAACGAAGACATGCCGTCTTGAATCTGATAAGCTTATGGATTGTTATTTATATAAATTTAAAAAATAAATGAAACATGTCCGCCGGCGACGGTGCCGTTTGTGCATTGAAGTGCCGAATGCATTAAAAGACAATAAACAATCGACACGCAATTTCTGGCACTTTTGATCTGTCTGTAAGAGTGTAATTGCGCTTGGGCAATGCGCAAATCACAAATTGGAAAGTAAGTTGCAGTTGCAGGCGGTGCCCAAACGTGCGCCTCGTTTAAATTCGCCGTGGAAATCGACGCGAGTAGCGATTTAGAAATAACACCTTCCTGAAAGCGCGGAGCACGCCGCGGCTATCAGACCGATAATAAAGAGCTTGTTTACAAAATAATAGACGCACGTAAGAGCGAAGTAATAATTTACAAACGCGCCGAATGTACTCGCACATGTAGTACTTTTGCACGAGTGGCTTGTAAGTACCTACTTACAATGCACAATTCAGGCGCATACAGTGCGTTTGAAGCAAACCGTCCACGCTGACAAAGTGGGGAGACGGCGACCCGGCAAACTCGATTCGATTACCGCCGGTGGGGGGCAGCCGCGCATGCCTATCGTGTCGATGCGTTTGATGCGAGGGCGTTCCGCAATTAAATAAATGGGAAGGTAGAGGATTGGTAATGTTAAACGCGAAGGCGCCGCCCTAGAGCGGCACGAGAAGGGGAACCTATGATTTGCCCGTATCGGGGCCTTCCCCTTCTTGGAATCAGTAAGCAATGTGATCTCAACAATAGCGGTCTGGTATCATTCTCAATACGCGATACGCGCCGATTGATTAATAGCGTTGGCCCGCGTTGTGAACCATCCAGCAACCCATCGACACCTGTTTCGCGAGAGTAGATTTTTTATTATTCGGCGGGTGCAGTGAGTGTGGACTTGTGAGCATTGTTTTCTTGAACTGTCCCGCGTCGCATCATGTTGACAGACATGACACCCACGGCTGGGCAACTCTACGGCGCCCAAATACCTGCGATGAGCATGAATATTAAGAACGTAAGTAGATTTTAGACTCTGAGTGTGAACTACCTGGGCATTGTGACCAAAACTGACAACTGTCATTGTCATATTGTCAAGATAAGTCCTTCATGGGATGGCTACTTAGTTGTAATACGCTTGCGTAAACTACTTGGGCTTTATTGTCGTGGAGTACAAGTGACAGCTCCACTTGAGACCAACAAAAGGCTTAAAACTATTCAAAAGAATAAAAAACTACGTCTAACCGTCGGAATAACAAATATTTTTTACATTAACTCGTTTAATTATTAGTACTTGAGAGTAAATACTGTTTAGTTAATAATTCACCCTTTAAAAGTGAATTATTATAACATGAATGCATTAATCCGTAGTTGCTAATATCCCTAAAAGAACATCGGCGCATTTTTTGTGAATACAAACTGCATGAGGTCGGAAACCCGCAATGAACACGAAAGCTCACAGCGGGTAGCGGAAAGTGGAATTATATCAAAATCATTGTTTGCAGTAAGTGCAGTTGATCCGCTTTGAGCTCATATACTTGAATGATACACATTTGTGGTTAGAATGCTTGAGGGAATGCAGGGATTATCAAAACAACATAGAAGGGACCCGGGATGTTTTGACAGAGCCTAAGAGCTTACAAGATAATCCCAGGAAAATACTTTTTGTATCCACAAATAAGAATCTAACAGTTTTTTCCTTCCAAAAGTAAATTTTAAGGTTAGTTTTGTATTTTTAAAGTGATTAATATAAATTATCTTCAAATAAAGAAAGTGTCGAATTTAATTAGGCAAAGGAATAGTTCACAAGCAAAAATATCATGTTTCAAAGAATTCACAGTATTCTAAGCTTTGAAATTGCAGTTTTTACAAACATGTGTGATGCGTATTGGATGCACAACATGAGAACAGATGTGATTTATTGTTAGCGAGAATATTCTGATCTAGGTATGACAATTTCAACACTAAACACCTTCCGGATTATAAAAAAATGTTCAAGTATTGTAATGTTTGACGGGCCATTACACTCACACATCCGTTTTGTTGACAAAATTTCATTCTGTTTGCTCGGAAATGATTAGACGTTCTTCACGCCTTGTAAAAGTTGAAAATCACAACACTTGGCTCATATAGTTTTATTACAATAATCATATAGCCACAACTTTGATACGTTTTGTATGTCGGCATGAAATAAGGCAAAAAGCGACCGCAGCTATAGTGATGAATTCAAAGGTAATCTACCACGAAACAAATTGTTTTAAGTGCCGACAATTTTGACAAGTTAGAGTAATAACGTTATTAGCTCCATATGTGTAATTGTGGGTTTGTACTTTACTTAGTTATTGTTATGAAATTACTCACTTACCTACTTTATATTCTGAACAGAAACTTTTTGATTGTGTTTTTATTTTTACAAGAGATATATTACATGTAGTAAAAGAAAATTAATAGCCACGGATAGTGGAACATGACAAGTTGGATACGTTTATCGAAAAATGCCGCTTTGTCGTTTTTAATTTTCACGTTAACAAGTGGAACGCGTTAACCGGCGAAGACGGAATGAAAAGAATGAGACATTTGCAGGCAGTAAAAGTTGATATATATGTGCATGTGTGTGTTGGTGTGGTAGCAACCGAGATGTGCGACATGATTCGTGTCGTCGTAAATTAGTGCCGCGACTTTTTTATTGTCTGTTCTGTGTCGTCGCCTCTCGGAAATTAGAATGACGCGCGTGCAGCCGATGTGGACGTTTAAATTGTTTGCTGCTTTGATGATTATTCAAACGCTTATCTTAATGCTTAACGTGGAAATTTTTGCTTTCGATCCAAAGCGAGAAAATGAACTTTTGGGGCGTTTGGCAGTTTGCGTGAAATTGATTGCGTTCGCTACGGCTGCGTGTTTATTTTTAAACGCACCGCATAACAATTCATTAATTTCAAAGTCGAATGCTTGGCGTTCGCTCCCGTTTACACGTTTGTCGGGTGGCTGTTTAACCATCTGCCTCGAACGGTGAATTTTGGATTTATTGCCGTCGCGACGCGCTGCATTTCCATCGCATATCGCTTGGAACTTACCGAAATAAAATAACGAAAGTATTGAGAAGCTTTTATTACATGCTGACTAATCAATAGAAGTTAACTTTGTACAGGCCACCAATTAAAAAACTTCAACTTGATTAAAAGTGAGGTTATATTCGCCTCTTGATGCTCACACAAAGATGCACATATCATGATCATGGAACGCGGTAGGACGGGGCACTCATGAACATTGTTTAAAGATCGGCTACTGGCGAGTCTTGACAGGATGATAATAAAAGCTGATCTTTTATACGAAGACGTTGCCGACACGGCGCGCATTGCTGTTGCTTTTCAAGCATCACATAATAGAAAAGTTGCTCGCGTTGAAGCATTTCTAGAGATGGTACCGGAGGATGATTGTGTTATTTGAAGATGAGCCCCTTTTCGGCGACGGCAATGATGAGTCCTTGGGATCGTTTCCGACCTTCGCGTCTTTGTTCTTTCGTTTGTGCGGCGCCGCGCGCGCTCGTTTTCGTAATTATTCTTTTCTTCGAAGCGTCGTCGAGGCGCCCGCATGCATGGAAGGCCCACTTCGTCACGAGCGTGCGTTTTGTTATTAATTTATTTAAATATTCTTCCAGGAAGTTGAAGAAAAAATAAACAAACGCAACGCGACTGCAACAATGAATCATTTTCTTGCGGTTTTAATTAAAGCTTCTTCGACCGGGCCGGGCGGAAATTCGAAAAAGGGTCCCGAAATCACCGAATTGAATTGAATTTGTGCGCGCGCACAATGCGCGGAGATGTGGAGTGAAAGCCAAAGGCTTGCTCAATGTCTTTGTATGCAAATGTGGTCACTCTAAAAAGCATGTTTTTTGTCCCTCTAATTGAACATTTATGCTTCCTTTCTAAAACGCTTTGTTCTTGCTTCCACAACGCATTGCAAACAGAATAATTTATTTACAACAACAAAAAGATTTTTTTAAATTTGACTTCTATTGTGTTATTGATGTACCGGTGATATTGACAGAATTCAATTTGCAATTTTCAAGAGTCGGTCACACTTAATAAGATTTATGAAAGTCAATTTATTTATTAAAAGGTTGGAAAAAGTGCGTGACACGCCGTTCAGTAATGTATTCATCCATTATACCTGTTTTCTTGCCTTCTGCTCTGCGCAGCGGACGTTTTTCCTTCATGCCCGGCATGTCGGTCCATGCATACACATACTGGCGCGCTAGGTGCGCCAAGAAAGGACTTGATTGACATTTACACGTAGTCCTTAAGCTATTCTTAGCGCCTACGTCGACCGAATAATTATTGCGATATGCGACCGGCTCGCGCGCTCTTTGCATACGTGCGCATAAGTAGTGTGAATAAATTGCGCTTGCAACTTTTAGACGAAGAAACCACAAGTAGCAATGCACCTGGTCTGTCTGTACCTATATGCATGCAAGTGTAATCATCTCCAACCATTACTCAACGTTTTATATTTCTAACTACAAACACTAAAAATAAGATTCCGAGATGCATTTGACGAAAATTACCCAAAATGTAATAACGGCGCTTCGAAATCAATTAATTATATCTAACCTGACGGGTTGCTCGACGTCGGCTTTATTTTCACGGGGTAAACACACGCGTTTTGACTTCACTTGACGATCGCCAGTAATTCCGAATGATTAAAAACGCATTTCGTGCAGGTTTGATCACAACGACGCAACGAGAGACACTTTTGATAAATATCAGCGTCGCCATTAACGGTTATTCGGTGCGAATCGATATGAATATTTTATGGCCACATCTTCACACACCAGCGACACTAATGAGTAGACAATTAGTTCGATTATCGATTACGGCCGGCCGCATGTCCACCGTACAAATTGAGTTATAATTGAACCAGTTATAACGCTTAAACGCAACCCGAGTGTTTCGTATTACGTTAATTACGAAATTTCATTGCTGCACACATACAGTTACATTCACGGCGTGTTGTGGGTTGCCGAATAACAACAAGTTAAAGAAGGCGGTGTGACTAGTTTGCATATTAAATAAAATTCACAGAATGAGAACCGTTTATGAATAATAAATTAGGCGGCGATGAATATTATAAAAACATAGAAACCTCGCTACCGGGGTTTTTCTCATTCCGTGGGTCTTGGTAATAATTATTTGTCAATCTTTGCGTGATGTCCTTAGGGTGAAATTTGATTAAAAGTTAATAGGAGCTACCGTACTCGACTTTGGGTCTCGCCGAGTTTCTCGGAAGCTTGCACCAGAGACCACTCGCAGGTATAAACATATACCTATATTTTATATTCTGCGTATGCATATTATAAAAATACATCGAAAAAATCTAATTTTGTGCTTTTATTGTCACATAAAATAAAAATGACGAATGTGTACCAACACAGCAATTGTGGTATGACAACATAACACATGTCCAATGTCCATTTGTCATTTTTTCGGTAATTGAGAAAAAAATATGTGAAAGCCCCCAAAAAATGGGAAATAAAATACTGTCTCTTGACACGTTCGACAAGTTAATGATGAAACAGGTTTCTTTTCTTTCCGCCGCGCCGCGTAAAATGGCTTCCAGCGCTCCCTTAATGGTATTTATTTATTGATGATGCTTCTGCGTATTCTCCAGCTACTGGGTGTTTTTAAATACTAGCGGTTAATAAATAAACACTGCTTTCAAAGTGGTTAATTTGTATATGCGTCGAAATTTGTAGAAAGAGGGAGAGGTTCTTTCTTCGTTAACGAGTTTCGGTCGTAAACATCATGAGGCGAGATTCGGCGGTCCAAACGAAAACGTAGGTGAACGAATTTATATGCATGAGTTGCCTAAGGACGTGGTTTTATGGCCCCGACGCATTTCTGACAAGCGGCTACTTTATACACACATGTGTGTACATTTTAGCGGTGCTGATGCTGTGCGCGCACGAGGAAAGAAGTTGCAAAAGTGCTCACGAAATGCCCTCCACTTCCGAAAGCGATTCCTTTGGGGAGTCGTATAATGCCCGCCACTTTGTTACACATTGCCCAGAATCTTATGTATGGTGCACGGACCTTGCGCTATTAACTAAACCGACCCTTCTATTCTCCTCCAAACCAAAGTCACAATCACACAATTGGAAAATAGGAAATCGGAAGAATCTATCGGCAAGTCGACCCTCGACGAACAAAATCTGCCAAATCAACACTAATAGAATCGAAAAGTCTTCGGGCGCTTCTATTTAACCGTCCGAAGGGATAATATCTACACTCAGATCTCGAGTGTTATTGTATAAAGAATGGTGAAATGTTATTGTTGACTCACGTCTCAAGATGTTCGCTGCGCAGCTTCTTTTTAAATTTATTTTTTAGCGGCTTTACTGAAAAACTCTGCGAATGTTTGATGAGTCGGGCCAATTTCGAACTCGTGTAATTAGCGGCATTGGGTTTAATTATGGACGAGAGTGGCGCGGCGGAGCAGAAGTTCGGGCGGCTTTAATCAAGAGAATAATGAAAAGTGGCGCCCGCTCGTCGCCTACGAGACACGCACAGGCAGGCAGCCCAGCTTACAAAAAGAATTAAAACGTCGAAAGCGACGTAAACGCGAACGCGGCCCCAACTCTGGAGAATAAATATGACGTGTGGAGCTTTCTGAAAGATGATGTGAAAGAGTCCGCGCACCGAAAAGATACATTGACGAGTAGCCGTCATTATAAACAGACTCCTTTGAATAGTCTAATAGTCGGAACGAATGATGATTTTCATTCTTTTCTTATATAATGTAGTTTTTTTTATTTTCTGTGTTGTAGGTACGAAGCGCCAGTACAGATTAATTAATTTCTATATTGCGTGGTGATTTTTTCGTGACTCTTGACACATGCGCGGCATTGTCCAGTCACTGATGGTTTAATGCATGGTCCATTAGCGGCGAAGATCGGCAAAGCAAAGCGCGAGTCGATAGCGCGGTGCGGCTGTTGAAACAACGAGTTAAAAGGTTAATCTGGACCGGCGCGGAGCTTTTTTCGGTAGCACGTCTCCGCGGGTCGATAACGGGCGCGCCGCCAATCGCGAGATGCCCTGGGCGTCGCCACGTCTTCGGCTACTAGCGTTTAGGGCCTAACCATCACTCAGCTGGACTCCTTCAGGCGATTCGAGAATAAAAGCGGCGATGAAGATCTGCCGTGAAGGTCATCCTCTTTTAAAACCTCTTTAATTACTTCCTAACTGTGAGAACTCACCGGCGACGGCCGATAATTCAAAATATTAATCAATATTCACTATTAATATGACCGCTCCGCCGGCTCCCATGCGTATTGCGTACGCCTAGTAGTTGAATTTCGTGCCCGGTGGCCGGATACTACATCAACTCGCTTCATTTCCTCGCTGGTCCCCTAGTTCATTTGCATTAGATGAGATTACCATGTCCAGACGAATTCGATATTTAACTCGGTGTTTTTCTTTAATTTCAGGAGCACCCGAGTTTACGAGGCACACCGCTTGCGATGCTCGCGGCACAGTGCAACAAATTGTCCAGTAAGAGTCCACCGCCACTGGCGGACGCCGCAGTGGGCAAAGGATTCCATCCGTGGAAGAAAAGCCCACAAGGTGCGCCATCTCCCGGGTCGACTGGTGTGACTGCTACTAGTTCACTACCAGTGCAACGGTCATCCGCGCCGAACACCACGTACGCGAGCCGTCCAGTCATGACTTCTTGCTCAAGTGTTTCGACCGCCGGTTCGTACGGCAGCGATCTCTATTTCCCGGGAGCTACCACACAGCCTGCTGTAGCGGATAACTCGCATGTGCATCACCATCAGTCCTCGTTGTTGGGTAAAGTTGAAGGTGCAGCCACAGCACACCATGCTGCACTTGGTAGTGTCTACTCACGACACCCTTATGAATCGTGGCCGTTTAATACGATGTCTGGAGCAACACACCACGGAGCTATCAAGAGTGATTCAGTGGCGTCCGCCAACACCTGGTGGGACGTACACTCAGCCACAGCGGGCAGTTGGTTGGATATGAGTGGAGCAGCCGGTATGCATGCACAAATGGCTGCGGCAAACTACACCTCAGATTATTCGTCATTAACGCATTCTTTGGCCGCCTCCAATCATTTGCTATCTTCTGGTCAGCATTTACTGCAGGATACCTACAAGTCCATGCTACCTGGAGCTCAAAGTGTGGGAGCATCTTTTGGACTACACACCACAGGATCAGCACCTTCACCCACTTCAGGTGCTGCAAGTTTACCACCACAAGTACCCTCACCGCGGTCCCAAAGACGATACACTGGTCGCGCAACATGTGACTGTCCCAATTGCCAGGAGGCGGAACGCCTCGGACCCGCAGGAGTACACCTCCGAAAGAAAAACATTCATAGTTGTCACATACCAGGATGCGGAAAAGTCTATGGCAAGACCTCGCATCTCAAAGCACATCTCCGATGGCATACCGGTGAACGGCCCTTTGTATGCAACTGGTTGTTCTGTGGTAAGCGCTTCACCCGCTCCGATGAATTGCAGCGACATCTACGTACCCATACTGGTGAGAAACGATTCGCGTGTCCCGTGTGCAACAAACGCTTCATGCGGTCCGACCACCTCGCTAAGCACGTCAAGACGCACAGTGCCAACGGCAAAAAGGGCAGTTCGGAATCATGCAGTGATTCAGAAGAGAACAGCCAGAGTGATATGACCAACAATGTCAACTCACCAGCGTCGATAAACCACACACCACCACCGGTGCAATCGCTCGGCGGGTTGGACCTCGTCACGGGCATGGAGTCAAAACCACCGGGCCTGGTTTGAAATCCGTGGGCCTCGCTCTACACGGCGGGTTATCACTAAACAGGAGAGCGTCAAGCGGTTACCCTCTGCGCCGCAAACGAGTGATTTTCATTTCTAACTTTTAAATATAAACGCGAACTTAATAATTTAACAATTGTTTGTATTATATAAATGATGAATGAATGATATTGATTTATGGCTTGTAAATAATGCGTAACATGAACGAGGAGAGCTTTAGAATATAATAATTGCATGTCACCTGTTCTATTTTGGCCTCGTTTTTAAAATTATAATGTGAGAAAATACACATCTTGAAAAATATTCGCACAATGCGTGCGAATTGTGAGGAAAAAAAAACGAAAACAAAAACAGTTGAATACTTATACTCTGTAAATATTATAAATAAATATATTATATTTAATTTGATTGTTCGTATAATGTTATTATATGAATGTATACTTTGTAATTACGGTGATTGGCCGTTGAGAAACGTGTTTTAATGAGTGTAACATATCATACATTATAATAATACTGTTAATATGAATAACGTAGTACGTCTATTAGTGTGCATAATCCTTCTCTAAATCACTATTATTCAATGGATTCAACTTTTTTTCTGTTGATCGCGCGTAGATATAATTAACGTCCGTTCAATCACATCACATTAGAACCGAAATTGACAGACACACAAAACACACACAATGAAAAACAAAATTAAAACAAATCATGTTTCTCTTCTTGCCAAAGATCAATTGATAAGAATGATATCTTGATAATATTGTAAATTGTTTTAATTAAATTAAATTAAACGCGAGCTTCATGTGCAAAATATATTAAATTAAGACAAAGATACGAAGAATATCATAAAAATATAATTTTCAAATTCTACAAATTCTGCAGTGATTTCTTTTCAATCCACTTGTTTGTATTTTTATTGCACCATTTGCGAGGGGAGCTCACGAGTTTAATCTTCGTTTCATGTCAACAGTCAGCGGGTGTGCGCGAATATTCCGCCGGCATCAATTTCAAAGCGGCGCACCGCACATTTGGATGTGTGGTAAGTAAGTTTAATCAGTGCGGCACCCCGCGGACGCGTTCAATAACAACACTGAGGGCGCGTTCGTATCGAACCATTTGTTTGAATTAGACGCCGAGTAATGAAATTACGTCGTGATTGCCGCGACGCGAGTGCGGCCAAATTTAGTGTTCATTTGGGTATTGCGCCTTTGAAGGAGTGACCAGCGAGCGTCCAATTACTTATTAGAAGTAATGGTCAGACGACAATTATATTATTTCCGTGATGCATTGCAGAATTCAATTTTTATGTCGACATTATTATCCCTAATAAAATTACAATGCAATGACGAAAAATGGTTGGCGTGCTTTTTACTTTCGGGAGATTCATTGTGCGTTTTATATTCCGCAGTGAAAAATTCCGTGTCGCGGCTATAAAATCCAAGAGTCAACAATGAAACGCAGCATGAAGTCGGCGAGCGAGGGAAGAAAAGAAACGTGCATTAGCGCGCGCACAAGCCACCGCAATTTTAACCCTAGTTATATACATTAGGGGATGATTTAACTGCATCGGGGAATAAATTAAGGGGAGCCCGTGACTAAACTAAAAGGCCCGGGCGAGCTGGTGAACACAGACACCAGCAACGTGTTCACGTCGTCAGGCAGCCGGGGGCCGCATTGTACAAGCTCGAAAATCAAGTACTTAATAGGGGGAAGTAAAATGACAAATTTCATTGAATTATTTCGCTGATAGTTGAGTAAATATATAATCCCTTGCAAATTCACTTAAAGCCCGTCTGTGGAAGATTTATCGATGCTTTATCTAAACAATTTCATCACAATTAATTTATGAATCAAACTGTAATGTTGTGTTAATCACCGAAATGTTTTGAAAGTTGTGGAAGTAGGTACTGTTTGCCATTTTGACGAAACTAATCGAAGATGTGAAAAAATCGAATGTGGCTTCCTTTATAATTTAAAACCGATTAATTCGATACGTGCACGAAACGCTATTAATCCACAATTAATTAGCCATTAATATCGAAAATACCGTAACACACCGAATCGCGATTAGCAGATGATCATCGTTTTAGATATAATGAATAAGATAAGACATTCCAGGCAAGCATGACTGTTATTAACGCGCTGGAGAAGATCGCTTCTTATATTTTATGTAATTAATTTATTAAAATATTTTAATTTGGTATGCGCGTTGCTGGTTAAATTTAGGTACACTTTGCGCAGCTTATTAAAAGTCTTAATCTAGGCGATGATAGAACGCGATGCGCAGGAAATTGCTTAAAGTTAAGTTTAAGAAATTGAGGTTGGTCGTTTAAACTAAATATAAAACAGATAAATAGATTGTTATTAATAATTGATTGTTGAAAAAATATAACTTTGACAATTGATTACAAATTATGTTTTCACGAGGTTTTCTGTTATAAAAGACTGTTAAACATGCAATTTTTTCAAATTTTCAAAATTTGCTATTAAAAAACACCTTGTATCTTTTATATTAACATAATATTTGCAGGTTTCTCATAATAATATCTTAGATTAAGACATCCTTTGCATGATGCGTGGCGTTTGCACCTTTCTATGACGCAGGAAATGCCTTAAAACACCAACTAAAAATTGTAAACCGTTTAAATACAAGCAGATTATACGTAAACAAATAAATGGAATGTTTCCTTAAATATTTTGCTACATCTATGAGTTTTTGGGTTATTCTTCAAGTTGCAGACCACTATGTAAAAATGAAACCTCGACGTATTACGTTGTGGATTATGTCGGACAATTTATAAATAGTTTCCTCGTTTAAGGCTCGTAAAACCGATGCGTTTTAATTAATTACCTACATGAGGATGTCAACACGTTGGTTAAAAATTATCCGACAGCCATCTGGAAATTTATATTATGACATTTAGTTACATGTTACATGCTAATATTCAACCAAGATTTTAATATAAAATTTAAGTTATCAGAAGTTACCAACTCCAACTTATCTAATTGAGTGCTCAATTCATATAGGTACAAACAATTAAATGAGATTTAGTAATCGTGTGAACATCACAATTTTTATGAATAAAAAGTCAATAGTTCATTAGATCAGACATACGAGTATGATGATTCATTGTTCGTTTTCAGTTATAATTAGCTAAAAACTCACTTAATTAGCATACAGAATGTATCCCGCTCCCGAAATATGAAAGAACCAAGTCATTTAAGCCATAAATTGAGCGCGCATTTTTTGTGCGAGAGTTTAAATTACCAAGTTCACAAAGAGTTTTATAGATATCCCCAGAAAAGCCATAACGGAAGGACGTATCAAGTGACATGCCGCGGCAGCGGCGAAAAAGAAACACTGTTTGACGACGCGAAGAATGAACAGGACCATGTGCTCCCCGAGATATAATTTGCAAACATAGTTGCAGCACCTTATTACCATCACAACATATTCGCCTAATTTGTGTTTGATGTGTGTAGGTATATGAGTGTATGTGCACACATAAAACACAAGATTTATATGTAAATAAATATCATATTGCGACGCGACCGAACATATTTCGGCGCTCTCACAGGCCGCACACTCGTTCTGTCCCATCATAAATTATTATGAGCGGCGCGGAGCAAGACAATAAAATCGATTTCTTGAATGAAACCAAACAACTCGAACGCTGGTTAAATGTAAGTATCCAAATGTATAATAGAGGTAGGTAGGTATATTTTAATAAAAATGCTAATAATTTATTTTACAGTTGACAATCATCAAAATATTAATTAATTTTTAATAAAAACACAAACTTTTTTATAAGAAACCCCTGAAAATATTCATAAAATACCTACTTAAAATAATCATGACGAGTTATCGGTGACAGGTTCTAACGTGACTCGCTAATATCAAAGTGCTTACTGATATTTACCGATTGATGGATTTTAAACTCGCAACCTGCAATTGTAATATCCGACAACACAAAATTATTGTTTCAATATTATTGACGTAAGTGAACTTAGCGATTATTATTTGCGATATATCATCATTATTCTTATTATTTGCCAGTTACAATTACGACTGCATTATTAACCAAATTAGTTAGGTTAGATGAGGTTATGTTACGCGTCATCTAGTGGCGTGCGTTGAATACAACCGCAGGCACGTTTCAAGTCGCGCAATTTTCATTGTGTGAGGAAACGTGGCGGTTCGCAAGGAGGAACGTCACCGCCCGCGGGCGTTCGACGCTTAACCATGGAGGCAGCGATAGGTGTGAAAAGGCGTTTTGTGGCACGGCTCACCATTAACCGTTAAATTCAAACATAGCCCCGTACGTCACGACCCTGGAATTGACTTTGATCTTTCTAATATCAATCAAACCAATTATTTCATTTAATTTTAATCGTTTTTTTTCTGATGTTTTGTTTTGTAAATTTTAATTAAAAAACAAAACGTCAACGTAATTCGATTAAAATATGAATATCGTCTGACGTGTGCAAAGTGTGTAATGTAATCGCCTTTTATAACGCGTAATTTCTTTATTATTTTTAATTTATTGGCACCTTTGGTGATGCAAACCGTGCAGAGTTTTTGTTTGCTTAATTTTTCTTCTCATGAGCGCTTTTCAATGCGCACAAATTAAAATCAAGTACTCAAGCACTTTATATTAAATGCACCTATTGTTTTGTTGTTTTTTCATTATTAAAACAAGTCAAAACTCTGGCGCTCGCAGCGCAAAGACAATAGATAAATTTATTCTATTACGAAGTTTTGTTTTCCACCATCGGCGTTGTTGTTGTGCGCCGTGCGGTATCGAAAAATACTCGGAAGTGGATAATTTATTAATGCGCGCGTGCTCGTCGGGCTTTAATTAATATTATAAGAAAGCTGAGCGTCACAGCGTCGCAGCTGAAGAAAAGAGGCAAGAATGGTTCGTGGGCTTGGCCCGTCCACGCCTACAGACGTTGACACCGAATTTTCTGGCACGCACCGAGCACAAGTCACAAGGCGCGAGTCCATTCATATCTCCCGGGATGCCCGGGAGGCGGTTGCAAATGTGCATTGGAAAAATGCGATTCTTTTCGTATTATTTACGTATCCTTGCGGTTGTGTTGTTGCGTGTCGAAGCAGATGTCGACAATATGTGCTTTTATAGCATCGGCACGAATCTTAAATAATACAAACAATCAAAACTTCTGAAATAACACAATAAAAATTACACGTTTCGTATTCTTAAGGAAACGTTCAGATGTTTCTAGATAAAATAACAAGAAAAAACATTGCGTGGGTTTAAATAAACGTGTAATAAATAAGCGATTATATAATAATAAGTCGATTGTTCAAAGATAAATCGACGTTATTGTGTTTTGCTTTCAATTAGGGTGTGTTACATCTCCTGCGAAGTGGATAGCGTTCAATTGAATCCCTTTGAATTCAACTTCCAAATTTGCACATCGACCGTGAGCCTATTGTCAAACAGACGGATTAAAATTGGAAAGTTCAAAGGTTTCACGCGTTTTGATCTCTCTATGCTATAATATACAGGATGTAACAAAATCAACTACTTTAATATTACTTTTAGGTTATGTTAGGTTATGATAGGTTAAAATAACATAAATATAGAGAGTATTAAATGTTTTAGTTTGATTTTATGTCTATTTTACTCTGAATCTTGATGAAATTGAGTAAGCGTATTGTCGGTGTCGTTTCATTTCGTGCGCGACATCGACAAGGCGGAATTGACAATGCGATCGATGCGTTTGCACACCGGATTGTGCGTCGATCCGTTGCGAAGCTCGTAATTAGGCGAAAAAGACGTACGCAGCGTCAAAGAACCGAATTTGTCTCCGCGCCACCGAAGACTAATTGCCAGCAACGCAGTAACA